AAAAAAAAAAAATCCTAATAGCAGCCAAATGCATCAGTGGAATAATTCTTTCAATGGAAATAGTACTTCTTCAAGGCGAAATGCTCCAATATCTGCAAGAGTATATATTTTAATTTTATTCTGTTATTTCTATGCAGTTATCTAGCTTTAAAGTACCACAAATTTGCTTTGATAATATCTATGTGGCAAATTACTACCCTGCTATTTAGATTTTTCTTCCTGTAACATGAAGATTATAAAAATTAAGCCAAACATATTAGTGTGACACTCTACTGGAACAAAACATATAGAGAATCTTTTCTTAACCCTTGCAAACACTCTGTTGAGATACTGTTTATTCCAGGAGTCTGATTTAATAGCAGAAAAAGCTATTGAAAAGCAAAACAGAATAAAAAACAGCTGGCTGCATTCCTGCCAGACACTTTCACAGTTCATAAACCCCCAAAACACAAATGAAATACATTAACATCAAGCAATTCTTAGATTTCAATAAAAATCTTTAACTTCACAGCTGAAAAATATAGCATAATCTAATTTTTCCTGAAACTGCCTCACACTGTATTGAAAGTCTTTCTGCAAAATAATCAGCATGCTGAGAGATTCAACAACAACAAAAAAAAGTAAGTACAGGAATAATTTGCTTCTTCCAGGAAATCATGGGACAATATTAAAGACTGCAGCTTAATTCAGAGCTACTGTATTTTCTGTGCTTTGAAGACAGGCCATGTAAAGGAATTATTATATTTTTATATGAGACAGAAAGAGAAAGTATAGACAATGACAACATGTATAGAGTGTTATGGAAAGTTAATATCTCAACACTGATACTAAGCACTTGCATTATTTCCCTTTCTAAATTTAAAAGAAAACTCACCACATATTGACAAAGCTGAATTTTATCTGTAACAATGGTATATTAAGTAGTCTACACACTGAGGACTCATTTTAATGCTGGCACAAATAATAATCAGAACACTTTCAAAGACAACCAGGGAAATTAAATGCATTTTGCCGAAACAAATAAAACATGAAAATTTTGTATGACCTAGCAAAAAATGCTTGGAATAGGTATTGTCTTGATGTTTAATTCACTTTTGAGTCTAGGAATTTTCTCTCAAGTCAGGGTCTTGCAAAGTTTTACTAGTACAATTTAATTGCATTCTGAAGACTACACAAAGGCAGTGTCCATATCATTTAATAAACGAGTTGTGGCCATTGCTCAGTTCTCAGCCATAATCATCCCTACTTTCCTAAGAATGTTGCAGAATATCATCTAGAATATCCTCTAGCCTGTATCAGCTGGCAAGGGCCAGATAATATTATTTAAATATTAATATAATAATATTTAAATCATAGTTGGTCTAAAGTGAGCACGTAGTGGTCTCCATGCAACTTCCTAGCGTGGATACAGCCATGCAATCTAGCAGATTGAATAATTTGTCTATGAATCCTTTACCATAAAAGTATTACTGACAAACAGATGACTGCGACATTCAATAGTTATCACATAGCTGTTGCAACCCAGAATTAGACTACCCAGTTTACAATCTCAAATTCATAGAAAAGGGGACATGTTAAATTTGAACAGCAACTCTACTCAAATGTTGAAACTATTTACTGCAATAATCAGTCTCATAAAGTTCTATTCCTAAAAAAAAAAAAAATTAAAAGCAAAGAACTTAATAAAAAACTTTTTTTAATCAATCAGATGACTTTATCTGGCTACTGAGGCTTGTGAATCAAACTCCAAAAGCATTAAATAGAAGTAGTCCAAAAAAGTGAAAGTTTTAAGTAGAAGAGTATAATTGTTTTAAATCTATCCTCTGTAAAAGCACATGAACGATTTCCTATGCAGAACTCAGACTAGAAGCAATTGTCAGAAATAAAAATCAATATTACAAGAATCACAGAAAGACATACATTACATTAAAAACGTTTAGAAACCTCCTCAGATAAAATTTGAATATTGAGTTATGTGAAAATTTTCATGCAAAACCTAAGGAAATACTAGAGAGTTCACTTTCACATAAGTGTTTTCTCTTTTGAATTCATTGTTTGGCTCCAGGTAGGCCACATCATAACTCAGCTTGGAATTCATGATTTATATTGTTCTCAGTGAAATATTTCCCAATCAGCTATTATTGCCTACAGGCATGAAGAAAGAGAAATCAGCAGAGTACAATGTATGTTTTGATTATTTTTTAACACTGAAGCTAAAGGCAGGACCTTTAAACCATCTGCTATATCTAAGGAAAAAGTATGGACAACTGGTGATTTTGCTACTGAAAAGATTTAGAGGAGGAACATATGTTCCAATGGCAATTTTCCCCCTGAGTGAAGAGGGAAAGAGGTAAACAACATGTAAGCTCCATAGTTACAGTTCCAGAGCTCTGCATATTCTGAAACTCATTCCAAGACATTAAGAGATTTTTTTTCTACATCTGCTGATGCTCAAGGGAGCACAGCGGACAGAGCAAGCAACCAAATTGTCTTATGATCTATGCACAGTTCAAAGTGAGCACCCAAGGATTCATACTTGTGCTGTGCTGATGACTGAACCAACTATCTGATTACTCAGACACATTCTGAATAAACACCCTGGAAACTAACCTGACCAAAAAAAAATTGCTTTAGTGTAGATACAAATTTTAAACTTAATCTCCATCTCTGCTACTTTTACTATTTCCTGGTTCATCTGCACTTTAGGAGTATCCAGTTAGAAGGCCCAGGGCACATAAAAAGCAAACAGAAAGAATCTCCCAAATGATTAAAAAATTATCTGAGAGATATGTCTATGACCTTGGCAATCCTTATTATCTGATGACAAAGAACCAAACCTTTCTGTAAGCTTTATATTGCTTTCAGCAGTCTCTGACTCTAAGGCATAGCAATTCTTTCACGAGAGTTTTTTAACTTCTGTGTCCTGAATAGTATGAGGAAGCTGTGCCAGCCCATCAGATGTGTGTGGTTTATGCATTAAAAAGCAAATACATGGGGCAACTTTTCTGGCTGTGGCATGTGACTATATGGTGGTGCCTGGTGGTGTAAAGCCTGCCTGAGGCACTGCTGAAGGTCTGCAGAGAACCAAGGAGCCAAAAGTAGCTGAATCACAGAACTACATAAACAAAGCTCTCCCTAGAGTGAATCAATCTTGAATGATGCATTGGAGAAAGATTAGGTTTTACATATGTAAAAATACATTAGTGAAAATAGCATTTACACATATATTTGCTGTGTTTTACAGTCCTCACAGAAAGAATTGATTATAAATCAGGACAATGCAGTACACATCTGAGTACAAGTCATTTAGAGGCCATCCATGTGAAAAGAAGACATCGTGAATAGCTTGTATAGACAACACAGCTGTTACTTCTTATTTAGCAAAACTGACCTGAGATGACTGTACACCCTTGTTAGGGTTTACATATGACATCAGAATTCCCTTACAGTTTCTTGCACTCAACAGGCATCATATGCAGTGCCTAAGGAAAAACATTTTTAGAAAGGATTTCTGAAAGAAAATGTAATCAGAATCCTCATTGCAAAAATTCTTGTGAAAACTTCTAAGGAATATGATACTTCCAAAATTAAATCTTTCAGTACAATGAAAATTAATTTGGGTTATAGATTCTTGCCTGAAATACAAAGCGAGAGACACATATCTGTAGAAGTGATAGGTGGGAGGTTCTAATGGGCAACATGCCCATAATCAAAAGGGAGAGACAGGAATGTCTTCTAAGAATATTAATGCAACTATTGTGAGTGCAGGCAGAATACAAGAGAAGTAGAGCACAGATTATTACCGGGATCACATTTTCCCTAAACAGTATCTCCTAGTGCTACTGGAAGAACTCAATGGACGACTAATCTAAATGGAAAGGACTTTTCTGGTGGTCTTAATCATTTGACACTGAAGGAATAGCCATTTGAGAGGAGTCAACATAACAGAATACCATTTATGTAAAACAAACTAATATTGTATTACTTTATGGTGAAGGAAAAAAAAAAGAAACTTTAAAAGGTAGAGGATCTGCTCTGATATAGGCTAGAATAAATGTGATGCTATATTTTAATATATTTTAATATTTTTCATTTGTCAGTAAAGATAGCCTGTTTCTGACTAACATTCTGATTTTTAACCTAGGGATACAAACGGTCTTACATTTTTCCAAATTTTACATATTGCATTTTTCCAAATACATACAGCATCTGACAACATAGATATCATTGAGTATAAACACCTTAGTAAGCTTTAGACATATGAATTATAAGCTCATGGGGACACAAATACAAGGCAAATATTTTCACAGAAGTGGCTCAGTAGGAAAATTCGTATTTGAATAGCTTTTGAGCATTTGAATTAAGAACCAAAGCTGAGTGGGAGGGATGAAGACAGATTATACCAGACACAGATGTCTTCCAGTAGTATGCCTTGAGATGCATAACCACAAAATTTGTGAGTTTACACTGAAGACTTTACCTGATGAGAAAACTGAAAGACCAGGGAATTCCCAGAAAATTTTGGGAATTACTTCATTTGAATACTCACAATTGTCCTCATATTAATTTGTCCACCTTCAGCTTTTAAACTGAAGTTTTAAAAAAACAATAAATCTTATTGTACAATAGTCACAACTGCATTAATTAGGAGAAATGTTTTCAAGAATGTATTATTCATTTATCTCTTCAGTCACCTACATTACACAAAAAGTCTGAATTAAATGCTAGAAGAAACTAGATAAGGCTTAAATTGCTTACAATTTTTAAACAGTTAGATCCACTGGTGTTACTCTAACAAATTTCTGATTAGTCATACTAAAAAATAGTCATCTCTGATTTTCTACATGCATGTCATTATTTAACATAATGCAAAAATGAAGGAAAAAAGAATTCCTGCAGTCCCCTGAACCGGGAGACTCATGATGTTTCATGCACTCCTTTCTGCACACTTCTTCTGGATGATTCAGCTTTTTGGCTGCATGACCAAGCACACTACAAACAATTCAGAAATGTATATTCTAAGATTTATTATTCCTAAGTATAATGCAGTGCTTGAACCAGACTAAAATCTAGCACAATGGGTCAAAATATTAAAATCCTGATTTTTTTGCATTCTTTGTTTTGCTGTTAGTTAGTCACTATCTTGACATACATAAGTTAAATACAGTAATTGAAAAAACAAAACCTCATTTGGGTATAAAACTTCTGCAGCTGTGTATCAACTATGGTAATATCTGTAAGGGATGACCAAAAATTCTGTACAGGATAATCTCTGATATTGGTTGTCATATTAAAAATGCAGGCAGAACATTCTGCTATCATTCAGGCTGAAGGGCTGTTTTAAGCTCAAGTCAATCTTCCAAACAAGTCTACTCCTGGATGGTGGTGCCTGACATGCAAGAAAGGAAATACAGTTATGCTTTTATTAAAATATGTCCAGCATTTAAAAATGAAAATATTTTCACTAACAAATATCTTGTCAGTAACGTTAGAGTGGTTGTTGTCAGAGGGACTAGAAATATGACTGACAGAAAGAGAGTAAACAAGAGAGTGAAAGAAAGAAGGAATGAAGGAAAGAAAGAGAAAAAAGGAAGGAAAGAAATGAGAAAGAGAGTAAAAAGCCCCACCTGCCTTTTCCCAAAACAACATGAATGTTAATTCAGATTCCACAACTAAACTTCCATTGCCTTTAATGACATAATGGGGTGCTCAGTCACAGAAAGACAGCCACATTTCTGTGTAGCACCAAGAACCCATTTACACTGAGGAAAGAAATAGCCACCTAAAACTAAAATTTTTCGTGCATTTTTTATGAAAAAGACATATGACCCAATTTCATTTTGACAGAAACCATGCAGTGAAATGGGCATCTGAGGTAAAATGCTGCCATTAAAATTCATTTGTTCTGTGAGTTTTAATTCTTAATAGAACTTGGGCCATACAGAATTTAGGTAAAAATGAAGTTGTTAATTCATGCAGAACTTAGCACAAAAGTTCTTCTTACAGTTTGAGCCCTTCACTTAAAGGAAGAAATTGCCTACCATGACATTTGTTGTAGTTACAACATGACTGAAAGGCAAAAACCTTCCAGGCAGAAAAGGGAATAAGTCCAGAAGAAAACAGTAACTCCACAGTGTTTTTCAAAGGTTTTGATTTTAAGCAGGCTGACTACATGCCCTAATATAGAAAAACACCTTTCTACACGCTTAGTTTCTTGAATATTTCCATCAAAGTCCATGAGATAATTGATATACTTGCAGCATGATACAACCATTTGAACCTTTATACCACTGAAAAATCAGCTTGAGCAAAGAATAGCCTAAACATTATGAACCCTATTCTCAGTAACTGCAAATTCCTATTATCCCCTGAGTTTGTTTTAACTCCATAGACTTACAACCATTGATGATGTAGGGGAATATAAATTTTTTAAATGCAACTTCTTCAAAGAGGTGCAACCATTTAATCATTGTTTTATCTCTAACAAAGTGGAAAGATAATTTAGAAATTTATAAATAAGGCCTTTTTTACACAGTTATTTATAATAATATTCTATTCATTTATAGCATATAGCGTAAATAACCTATTAAAAGTGGGATAATAAATTCTGTAAGTTTTATAATACAGTAAGATCAAGAAAAACAGTTAAGTTATTCACTTATTCACTAATAGTCATCTTACAGTTTTTCTCAAAGACCCAAAGCATTAAAGATATGAATGATGCGAAAATACAAAAATCAAATAAAAGGGATTTGAAAATTACATTATTTAAGCATTGAAATAAATTGTGTACAAAACCACCCTAGAGAATACAATCTATTCTGAATTTATTTCATTCTTATTTTGTGCTTAAATATATGATCTGGCCTCTACTGACATTTTTAAATGCTACTTTTAGAGTCATGTCATGCTTTAAATAATTCCAGTTTGAAATAATTGATTCATGAGCAGTTTATCTGATTTACTTCCCTACCAGATGGCACAGAAATGTTCTGTGTCATGAACTGTGCTACTGGATCTGGTTAAAAGACTGGATTACTTAATGCATTGCACCTGTAGTGCCTTTTAGAAATGAGAACCCTGTAAATTAGCTCAATAAATGAATTTGACATTTATCTTTCAACAATCACTGATTTTTAGACTACAAGAAAAGAAAAATAGTTCTGGATTTATGTTAGCAGCTATGGTATAATAAGTCCCCTCCTAGGTATCATGAACATATACCTTGAACAGTCTCATTTAGTGTGACCAAATACAGAAATGCAAGCAAAACCCTCATTAATGGTTTCCCCTATGGGATATGTAAACCCTGAAAAGTGAAAAATATTATGATATAATAAAAAACACATAAATAAAAAAGGGATATGTCTCAAATTCTGTATTTCAGTATTCAAATTGAAAGGAAAATTATTCTGTCATCAGTTTTTGAACCGGACCATCACAAAGTGCCATATACAACTTTCTATCAAAATCTACTTCCATTTAACACAGTAATGCTTTAAAACATTAATTACATCCAAAACTGTGAACATTTAAACTTCATATGTTTAAGCATAGAGTTAAATTCTTTCTCTTTCATTGCCTAATGCTACATAACAATTTATGAGATGAATATAGGAAACACAGAATCAGGAACTACAACTTAGAGAAAACACACCCCTTTTTCCATTCAAACCATTAAAGAACCACATATGATGATCATTTTGCTGGCATCAAGGTAAGCACACTAGAATTATGTGACTCAAGCAGGAAAAGGATGTTGCAGCCACGGAAGTGCCTTCCTGGAAAGTTGAAGAATAAACATGTGTGCAGAGTTGATTTATTATAAAACCCCTGTTGGCATCTGCCAAAAGAGAATGGCAGCAGCTTTTAAATCCAAACTGTCTCACACAGATAGTGAAAGGAAAAAAACTGACAAAGTATTTATGCCCAGAGCTGAAACTATAGTTAGGAGAGTATTCTGTCCTTTAGAAATATAATGCTATGAAAAGTGGTAAATGAGCTGATAGGAGGTATGCAAAAAATTTTCATATGAAAATTGAGTTCCATAATCATGACAAATATTATCTAGGTCAGGTGTGGTTTGCATTCTGAGCTAACTGCTATGGGCTTGAGTTTGTGGGTTTGGGGTTTTTTAAATTTTTAATCTGAGAAAAAAAAAAAGATAGCAGCAACTGCAAAGAAAAAATATTTTTTGTTGGCTCCTCACCTACAAGTTAAGAGTGGTGAAGTAAGTAAAAAGCTGAGACAAAGGATGAACATAAAAGATGTTACCTAATATGGCAACCCATCACCTGATGCTTCCCAAAAAGGGAACCAAGTAGCAAACAGAAGCTGGAGGCAAAGAAAGCAACAGATGGAATTTATTCAGAGAGGAATTACCTTGTGAAAACCATATCAGGCATGAAGAATTGATACTTCACCTTTGAGGTTTGAAAATATCAGTCACTCTGTCTCAAATCGAGCAGGTGATTTTCCACTA